CCAACTCTCCTATAACCAGCACACTCTGAGCAGAATGTTCTCACCAGTTCTCCTATAACCAGCACACTCTGAGCAGAATGCTCTCGCCAGCTCTCCTATAACCAGCACACTCTGAGCAGAATGTTCTCGCCAGCTATCCTATAACCAAGACACCCTGAGCAGAATGTTCTCGCCAGCTATCCTATAACCAAGACACCCTGAGCAGAATGTTCTCGACAGCTTTCCTATAACCAGCACACTGAGCAGAATGTTCTCGCCAGCTCTCCTATAACCAGCACACTCTGAGCAGAATGTTCTTGCCAGCTCTCCTATAACCAACACACTGAGCAGAATGTTCTCGCCAACTCTCCTATAACCAGCACACTCTGAGCAGAATGTTCTCACCAGTTCTCCTATAACCAGCACACTCTGAGCAGAATGTTCTCGCCAGCTCTCCTATAACCAACACACTCTGAGCAGAATGCTCTCGCCAGCTCTCCTATAACCAGCACACTCTTTAAGCAGAATGCTCTCGCCAGCTCTCCTATTACCAACACACTCTGAGCAGAATGTTCTGGCCAGCTCTCCTATAACCAGCACACTCTCTAAGCAGAATGTTCTCGCCATCTCTCCTATAACCAACACACTGAGCAGAATGTTCTCGCCAGCTCTCCTATTACCAACACACTCTGAGCAGAATGTTCTCGCCAGCTCTCCTATAACCAACACACTGAGCAGAATGTTCTCGCCAGCTCTCCTATTACCAACACACTCTGAGCAGAATGTTCTCGCCAGCTCTCCTATAACCAACACACTGAGCAGAATGTAGCTTTCCTATAACCAACACACAGTCCAAGAGTAGTATGCTCATTATGCCTGTAGCAATCTGCTTTCCACATGAAACACATTATTCGTTGCTACAACTGTTAAAATAAGGGGGTCAATCTACCTTCTACAGAGCTCAACAGATGTCATGCCTTTACATCCAATCAAAAATCAGATATGAGAACTGCTTTTTTTGTTTTGTATCCAATTGTTTTTAATGTGTTACTTGGTAACCATACCATACTCACCTCCATGCTCTCCAGGACTTACATGATCAAAAAAGAAACCTAAATGCGTTCTGTGTCTTAATGGATTCCTTTCCGATAATGTCAGAGTATTTGCATAACTGGTTCAATTCATTAAATTCACCACAATAAAAATATCCTATGCCGCAGGTTGCATCTAATAGCTGGGAATCATTAATGTCTGCTTTCTCACTAATTACCAGCCTAATTAAATGGAATATCAGAAATTAGAGACCCTGCATTTTCAGAAACCTCTTTATTTTTTCAATAAAAGATATGAAGGGTTTCAGTGCTAGCAACTGACTCCACTAATCATATGTTGACAGCTTTTACTCAAAGTGCACACAATCAACCAAAAAACCCAATTCTGGAAAGGGGATTTTATTAAATAATATTTAACCATTAGAATAATGATTCATTCCAACTCATTTGGCCCTTTTTCATTCATTGGTGTGAGCTCAGATTGTTTATATAAATAAATGTTATATGAATCTGCACTGTAAGTACATAGTAAAAGGGCATTTGTTAATCATAAATGAGTGACAACAGATTAGCTCAATCATAGTTAAAATAAATAACATTTAACGTAGAGAACTGTAGCATGCTGGAGCAGATTTTCTCACAGCTAGCCCTAATAATTTATGACACACCAAACCGCAAAACAACGTATGCAAATTTGCAACAAATATGGAGTTATAAGCCTGTGCCTTATTCTTATAAAGAAAACATTGAAAATGCACCTATAATTTTTGTTAATTTTTGTTAATCCCTTATTCATGTTATGATCCTTTTTTATTCACTCTATGCACCAGAACTACAAAGACTGCCCTACAGGCTAAGCAGTGTAAACATTGCCTTTTCTGACAAAAGGTAGTGTATGCAATGCTGCCTAACATCACCTCAAGTACATTCCTAGCTGCATAGAGATGATAAAAGATCACTATAGAGATGCATTAGGTCAGGGCTTGACAAATTTGCTTTAAATCTAGGAGCCAGCTAAAAAAGTTAGAGAAAGCTTTTTCAACGTCAAAAATACAATTTTTAAAGGGACACTATAGTCACCAGAACCACTACAGTTTAATGTAGTTGTTCTGAAGTCTATATACTGTCCCTACAGACTTATATTTTTCAATTTCAATCACCATGCTTAATATCAAAAATAGTGCTTATTTGATATTGTCCATTCACAGATGTGTACAGAATACACAATTGCACTTTGGATTTGAGTTATTTGCACAATATCAAATAAGCACTATTTTTGATAGTAAGCACTGTAATTGAAATTGAAATATATGTCTGTAGGGACAATTTTAAAGGCACAGCACGCTTTCTTTTCTTTTTGTTTGATATTGCTGCTAAGATAAATATTTAGCAAGGTACTTCAAATTTTAGAGAATTTGTATAGCACCTTATATACTTGTTTATTTTGTTCTTTTATATACTGTCCCTGCACGCTTTCCAATGTAAACACTGACTTTTCAGACTAAAGGCAGTGTTTACATTGCTGTCTGGTAACACCTCTAGTGACGGTTACTCAAACAGTGTCTAGAAGTGCTTCCTGGGTCAGTGCTGCACAGTGTAGAGCACCTACATTAATGCTTCCCATTGAGCAAAACCACATTCAGCGCTCCTTTTGTGAGTACCTCTTTCTTTTCTTTTCATCCTGTTCTTATCAGTGAGCACTATTGGCTGTTTTTATATTTCTTTTATGCTACACTTGCATCGGTGAGCTGCTACTACCCACGCTGGGATTCCCACACAATTCATCTGAATCCTGACACACTTCCTGTAAAGATTGTTGCTGCACCAGTATATCCACAGCCGGGGATCATACCGTCCAGGCACTACTATTTGGAGCGGATCAGAAGCTCCAAAAAAAAACTGTAAGTGTATTTCAATATTTTCCTCACCGAATAAGAGAATTACACTATATTGTGTCTCCTGTCCTCATCTTTTATATGCACTAAGTACTATCTGGACCAGAAAACATTCACAAGGGCCTGTGACCCTTTTAGCATCTTGCATTCTAATATACCTGGAGTGTTCATTTAAATTTCTATTAAAGATTTAGCAAATTACATTATAATTCAGTTCAGACAAACCAAAGCCAGGGCAAACATCGCTCTGCTGGCTGCCAGGTGCATAGGACAGAATTTATAACAATGATTGCCAGAGAACTAAAGCAAAGGCACCCAGCTGCAGGAAAAGAGGTGTGGATATAAATGTAATTTTAATAACGTATAAGTACATATTTGATAAATATTGGGAAAAGTACGTATATATCATAGTTATAGAGAAAAGGTATACTTAGTCCACTGAACATACAGTTTATTTAAATGAAGTTACATGTTCAGGGTTCAAGTCTATTAACAAAACTCTAAACGGGTTATCATTGGATTGATAGCAGCCATCGAAGGGCTTTCAATTTATTAAGTACCGTAGTTTGACTCATCTAATCTGATGGTGGGAATGCTGCACGGACTGAATGAGACCAGAATGAGACTGCATGGACCAGAACAAGAGGCTCCAAATTGGAGGAGCAATTTCCTAGTCTTAGATGCTGCTACTTGCTTGGAGACTTTCAGTACTTACCCAAATACTGCCCTATTCACACTTCCAGATAAACACACAGATTAGAATGCTAGACACACACACATATCTCCACACACAGTCAGGTACACACAGATACACGCAGCCAGACACACACCACACACAGATACAGGCAGCCAGACACACACCACACACTGATACAGGCAGCCAGACACACACTGAGATACATACAGAGCTACAAACAGTCACATCTCATCCCTTCTCTACCTCCTCCCTTCAAGGTATGTCAGACCCCCTTTTCTCCCTCCTCACCCTTTCCAGTTATATACATTGCTTGTTCCAGTTTATCTGGACATTTCCATTGGTGAATTGAACAAACAGATTAAAGGGACACTATAGTTGCCAAAAAAAAAACCTTAGCTTAATGAAGCAGTTCTCACTGCTCAATTCTATGCCATTTATGGGTTAAACCACTGTTTATGCAGCCCTAGTTAAACCTCCCTGCATATGATTTACACAGCCTCCATAAACTCCTGTAAAGCATCATCTAATGTTTACACTTCCTTTATTGTGAATTCTGTTTAATTTAGGATGTATTATCTCTTGCTCTGTTAATAGCTGGCTAGACCTTGCGGGAGCCTACTATATGTAATTAAAGTTCAATTTACAGAGAAGTAGATACAAGCTTTTAAAGTAAGTTACATTTGATTGAAAATGAAACCATTTTTTTCATGCAGGCTGTGTCAGTCACAGCCAGGGGAGGTGTGGCTAGGGCTGCATAAACAAAAACAAAAGGTTTTAACTTAGAAATGGCAGAGACATGAGCAGTGAGACTGCAGGGGCATGATCTATGCACAAAATCCGCTTCATTAAAGGACCACTATAGTCACTCAGACCCCTTCAGATCAATGAAGTGGTCTGGGTGCCAGGTCCCCCAGGTTTTAACCCTTCAGATGTAAACATAGAAGTTTCAGAGAAACTGCTATGTTTACATTGCAGGGTTAATCCAGCCTCTAGTGGCTGTCTTCCAGACAGCCGCTAGAGGTGCTCCCCCGACGCTCAATGCAGAACGTCCATAGGAAAGCATTGAGAAATGCTTTCCTATGGGCGTTTTTAATGCATGCGCGACCACGCATTCGGCTCCACTCGGGAGCTGACGTCAGAGGGGGAGGAGAGGTCACCAGCTCCAAGGGAGCCCGGCGCTGGATAAAGGTAAGTGGCTGAAGGGGTTTTAACCCTTTTAACCCAGCTGGAGGGGGGCCCTGAAGGTGGGGAGGACCTAAGGATTATATAGTGTTAGAAAAACTAGTTTGTTTTTCTTGCTCTATAGTGGTCCTTTAAGTTAAAGTTGTTTTGGTGACTATAGTGTCCCTTTAAGCCAGGCCTTCCCAAATTCCGGCCCTCCAGATGTTGCTGAACTACAACTCCCATGAATCTATGAATGAAATAGATATGCATGAGAATCATGGGAGTTGTAGTTCAGCAACATCTGGAGGGCCGGAGTTTGGGGAAGCCTGCTTTAAGCTATGTTTGGAATGTTCTTGCTAAAATGTATTGATATCCACAAATAGCTAGCAATATGTTACTAATTACTGCACTCTGGCAATTAATGAGAACTTAAAAATCAGCATTATAGTCATATATGCATATTGCAAGAGGTTTTCCACAGTAGGGGCTAGTCATTAGCTAATCATCTTCTGCAATGATTACGATCCCTGCTGTGACGCACCTAACATATCTTATATATCAGTACAGTTGGAAATAGACACTTGTCCTTCAAGTGCAACCTTTCCAAGAGTCAATTTTAATTATCCTTCTCGGGTAGGTTCAGGTACTGAACCCAACAGCCACTTCACAAATAACACTTGAGTGACAGTGAGAAAAAAACAGAAGATCCACTATTTATATCCTAGATTGTAAGCTTGTTAGAGCAGGAACCTCTCCACCTATTGCACCTGCCAACATTGACCTCAATTTAATATTTTTGGTTAAGTTTTTTTAAATTATTTTTTTTAAATGTAATATTTTAATATATTGATTTTCTTTAAATCTGTTTCTATTTTATATTTTATTTTTAAAATATCTTTAAAAGTTTATCCCCCCAAAATTAAATAATTTGATAAGCGTATCCAAAAATATTAAATTGAGACCATTATGTCTATTACTTGCTGTAGGAACTGCAAGGAGCTATGGAATACGTGGGTGCTATATGGATGTTAAGAATGACAGTTTACCAGTGCCAGACTGGGACAAAAAGTAGGGCTGGGCAATTACATTCACAGAAGTTTCAGAACTGGAGTATTATGGTTAGGAGAATTGGGATGGCGTGGGGGTCAGTAGGTATATCAGGCAGGGCTATGCCAATTAATGACAGTTCACGCAATTAAAGAAGCAAGAATATGTTTGCCATTTCACTTGTATCTATGGTTAATGATGTTCCTTATTATTATGGATTGTGTTATTGTGGTGTTAGCTTGATAAAGACCTCATTGGAGGTCAAAATGTTGCTGTTTATGCTTAAAGTCTCCAAATACATCTGCTCCTGTCGTACCTTAAATGCCTGGATCACATTGCTTTTTACATTTATGTGTGCGGTTCGCAAGCCTCAGGTACAGTTGTGCACCTGGTATCATATATATTAGATGAGTGCGGATTCCTTCCTTCCTGATTTCAACGTAGTCTGTGCGGCTGCAAAGATCTCCACTAAGGAGTGCACCAAAGAACACTTTATTGGCAATATTTTTTATTTTTTATATATTATTTGTTTTGATTAACTGGATTAATCCTTCCATTTCCTAGATACAGTATGGTTGCAAATATATTCTTAAAAAGAGAAAGCATATGTTCTTTTTTTTTTCTCTCTTTATTTCTTTATCTTGTAAGAAAACAATACGGTGTTCCTCATGGGGGGGTGGAGAAGGGAGGGTACTGGGAAAGATTCTCAGGATAGAGGCGGGATGGAGACATCCTAGCCCTCTATTGTGGAGATACACAAGAGACAGGTTTGGCAGAGAGACATATGAATGGCACTGCTCCAAAATATATTGGTAACGCAACTTGAATATCTTATGTTTATTGTTAATGTTCTTTATGTGTTTTTACAAAAATACAAAAATCTCTGACAGATTGCGCTCATGCTAAATATCAATGTATGACCCTACATTGATATTTTAACACTACAAATCTTCCTTTCTGTAATATTATGGTAAAACTGTATTTTATATGACTTGACTTTTGCACAAGCCTAGATGTTATCTTGTATGCCGCAATATACGTCATTGCAAAAATAAAGAATTTAAAAAACAAACAAATTTAAAAAAAAAATACAGAGTTCAAAGACACATTAGGAACTACAGTAGATTCAGGGAAAGTTAGGGTTGTCAAAAATATGAACTTTCCAATTGGATATACATACCATGAGGCTTGAGAGCTCTCCAATGTCCTCCTCGTCCCATTAATCATGCAAGCTTATTATCCCACTAAATTGATCCCACGGAACACTTTCTAAATGAAGTGTGTTATTATCATGCCTAGAGCCCTTAAGAAGGTGTTTGAAGAGGTTTCAGGGATTAATTCAAACCGGTTTTTCTTCTTGCTTAGGAATCAATGTACTTAGATGGAAAAAATAAATAAAAAACAATTGAAGCGCCAAAAACAACTTTAAAAGAACAAGCCCGTGTCTGTTCATCAGATTGTTATTACAAAACTTACATGGGTTTATTTTCATGTCAGACGGGTTTACTTTGCTAAGGTGTGTAAATACTTTGTTGGCACTACAAGACCAATTATACATAGTAAAGGTTCAGCTAATGCTTCCCAGAGAAGGACAAAATGGATCTTGAGATCCAAAGAAATCTGCTCAGGAATAGATCCTGAATGTCATTTTACCTTTTTGTGAGAGACAGCATATAAGTATTGCATCAAATAATATATAAAAGAAACTAACCACTAAAAGTCACCTAAGGCGCTTCCTTATTGAAGACATAATGCTACACGCTTTCAATGCGTCTCACAGAGACACACTGGATTCAATGCTTCTCACAGAGACACGCTGGATTAAATGCTTCTCATAGAGACATGCTGGATTCAATGCTTCTCACAGAGACACACTGGATTCAATGCTTCTCATAGAGACATGCTGGATTCAATGCTTCTCACAGAGACACACTGGATTCAATGCTTCTCATAGAGACACACTGGATTCAATGCTTCTCACAGAGACACACTGGATTCAATGCTTCTCACAGAGACACACTGGATTCAATGCTTCTCACAGAGACACGCTGGATTCAATGCTTCTCATAGAGACACGCTGGATTCAATGCTTCTCACAGAGACACACTGGATTCAATGCTTCTCACAGAGACACGCTGGATTCAATGCTTCTCACAGAGACACACTGGATTCAATGCTTCTCACAGAGACACACTGGATTCAATGCTTCTCACAGAGACACGCTGGATTCAATGCTTCCCATAGAGACACGCTGGATTCAATGCTTCTCACAGAGACACACTGGATTCAATGCTTCTCACAGAGACACGCTGGATTCAATGCTTCTCATAGAGACATGCTGGATTCAATGCTTCTCACAGAGACACACTGGATTCAATGCTTCTCACAGAGACACACTGGATTCAATGCTTCACACAGAGACACACTGGATTCAATGCTTCCCTATGAGAAACCTTGGATTGGCCAAGAGCACCAATTGTTCTTTGAGATGCATCGAAATGGACAGAATTCCTCAGAATTGATGACTTCACCTGTGAAGCAGCATAGAGGGAAGACTGTCACTAATATTAAAAATGTGAACAAGTGAAACGGCTGCCTTTAAGCAATTGTACTTTACTCCAGAGTTAATAGAGCCAAAACTATTCCTTCTTTTTGTAATAGAGTTAAAGAGGAAGTCTATAAAAAAGTTTTAAGCAAAATACAGCATCAGTAGAATGGACTAGAACAGTAAAGCTTATTGTAATGTTTAAGGTGAAAGGAGGCTATAGCTGCGCTGTTTTTTTGTCAAACGGCTTTATAGAGGACTACCTGGCAGTCAAAAGTCCAGCTCACTTCTAAATTGACTTCTGAATAATTTGAATGGAAAAAAAATGGCTCTTACGAGAAAGATGTAGAACAGAGTCTATGTGGCTTTCAGGTACAAACATATTCTATTTATTACACAGTTAAAAAAATAAATTAAAAAAAAGGACACAGTATTTTCCAGTTTTGTCCGTTAAATGGACGTAATTATAGAATAATTAGTCCTCCGAAATAATTGCATGGACAGTCAATATTCAGATGCATGAAATCACTGTTAACCTCTTCAGCACCATTAACAAAACAGAACATCGTAGTCTTGTTCTCTGTTTAAATAGATTGGACATATCACAAAGGAAAGCACTTGAAATGATTAGAAAATCAAAGGGACTGAACTCCCAGCCCCTTACCATGACAATAAGCTGCTGTGGTTATGGTGCTTAGAGAGCTACTTTAAATAGGGCACTGATGCTTCAGAACATAACCATGAATTACAAATGCAGCACATATGGGCTCTACCTATAATTAGTAAGTTATAAATTAAGAAATTAGTAGGCTTCTCCCCAAACAACCTCCTTCTTGCAGCCAACACAAAATGCATATGTTATAAAGTAATTAGTATACTGAAACTTATTAAAAAAATAAAGCAATAAAATAAAAAATCAGCTCATTATATGAATCATAGCAAAATAATGACAAATGTGACCTACATGTGAATAAAAAGGGTTTTAGGGACGCCCATTGAATGCACATGCTCCAATCGGAAGGCGTGGAACAATCCCAGAATGCAATGGTGAAATGCAAGATGGTAGGAATAAAGTTACATGAACTGCACAGCTCTTAATTACTTGCACAATTAGTGCAATAATATAAGTATCCTTTTATATTAAATAAAAACTAATGCCAGTTTTCTCTAAAGAGGAGTATAACACATATGGTTTATAAATTCTTGTTTTATCTTCCTTATAATGATTGGTCATTCCAAAGATTACAGAGTTCCATTTGGCTGGCAGGTTTTTTTGTGCTATACATTGTGTTTGCAAACGTTCTAGTAAATATAAAAAAATATATATGTAAATTAAATTATAATTTTTTTTGTTCATTGTAAGAAAAGATTTTCCAGTGCACTTGTATTAATCTGATCATACTGCTCCTTGTGTTGTTTATATGGATAACGCACTAACCATTATTGGGGGGAAATAAATACTTTACCTGTTACTCAAAGCACCATGATTATTAAAGTGATCTGAAGTGGTTATGGTGCCTGGAGTCTATATGTAAAGCATTTCATAAAATTACCTTAGCCCACTCAAAGCTCATCATTTTTTAATTGGAATGTTGAAACGACCCCCAAAAACTCTCACTGGATCGTATTCATTTTCAAGTAATTTATGGAATAAGTAAGTGCTGTTAAAAACTACCCCGAGAAATAAACAGCATAAGTTATGGTGGGATGGATGT